GCCACGGAGAACTCCACCGCCCCGCGGCCAGGAGAACTAGCTGGGGCCCCGCTACCACCGCGGACTGCAGCTAGTGATGGCAGGGCCCCCAAGACTCCTTCAAGAGTTACCGTCCCAGAGCCCACAGGGTGGCTCTACCCTGGGTCACTGTGAGTCGGCAGCCATGCGATGGCAGTGGGTGGTGGAGGCAGTGGGAGAAATAAAAATGCAGAGCAAAACTCACTGTCGTAAAAAAAAGATCCTATTTGTCAGTCTGATAGAGACGGGTGGAACTCCCCAAGATGATGGCCCTGAAACCCCCTTCAAGCCTGGAACTGAGCCCATCCCCAGGGATCCACTTTCAGTCAAGCACTAGACATGGCTATAAAGGGCATGGTGATGCCCGGAACGAAGACCTGCTTCCGAACAGTCAGCCCTGCCAGCCCAGCAGGACAGCATTTGCCCCAGAATCACAGCCGGGCAGGAAGGATGGACAAATGGAAACAGAGGGTCCAGGAGGAGGTGGGAAGAGTGTGGTCGCCTTGAGGGAACTACAACAAACAAGATGGGGGTGAACTGTTGACTAGGGAACAAGTGTGCTCCGATCGCTCTCACCCAAACTGCAAGGGAAGCGTTCAATAATGAAATCGATAACGGTTCTCCGGGAGAGTCAAAATGGCCGGACACTGTTCGCCTTCCCCAGCTTTCTGCTGGGCTCTGAGCTCCCGGGGGAGTCAGGGTTTGGAAGGGGAAGAGGGCGCAAGACTGTGCCCTAAACTACCCCCCTCTGGCTGTGCTGTAGCCCCCAGAGGGACACACACCTGGAGTTTGGGGTGGACTACAGTTGCTGGGGGTCCTCCCTGGACAGTACATGGTTCCCTCCTGGGAAAAGGGAGAATTCAGGGGGCTGGGGAGAGTCCCTGGGCCTCTAGGTGGGAGGCGTCCTCCTGCTCAGACTCCTGAACCCATGGCCGGGACAGCATGTGCCCGTGCCACCTCTCCCACAGGAGGCCTCGTAGAAATGGACATCTGAGCCCTTGGCACGGCCCCTGGCCCCCGAGGGGGCTCCTGATCCCTCTCAGAGTCACAGCTGCTGTCGGCACGGCTGGATCCCACCTCACCCCAAAACATCAGGGCACGGCCTTGGCTAAAAGCGTCCAGAAAGGAGTGGGTGAAAGCATGACCCCAAAGTGGGCCAAGAGGGCAGGGCCTCCACTGTGAGAGGGTGGCAAGAGGGGGAGGGAGGAAGGGGTACCGTACCTGCGAGGGCTGCCATCAGCCGGCCCACCATCATGAAGAAGAGCCACATGCCAGGGGCCATCCTGGTGGTTAGGCGTGTTCACCAGTGGGCAGTGCCATCCTAGGCCCACGGTGGACAGAGCGCCATTGCCCGCTCGCCCGTCCCGCCCGGGCTGCTCCCGCGATGTGTGTGTCTCAGCTGCTTTTTCTCTTGAGCGCCTGTGACCGACCCAGCCTGCGTTGCGAGTGGCTCACACGCCTCCGTGCTGTTCTGCTTGTGGTTTGGTCTCCAGGAAGTCAGGCTGGTGCGACAGGGGCTAGTGGGGAGAGCCCCCAGCTGCCTCTGCCGTGAGCCCCCCAAGCCCCGCTGAACTTCCCGGGTAATGGGGTGAGGCAAGGACAGGCTTTCCAAGAATGCCCAACGTGGAGGGGCAATAAGAAATAGGGCAGGTGGAAGGGGAACATCTCGTTCCTGGTGGCCGGAAGAGGGAGGCCTGGTCCTGAGTAGATGTTCAATGAATAGATGTTGGGAGGAGGATGGACGGATGAATAAATGAAGGAAGGAAGGAAGGAGCCGCTGCCTGTCCCATTCCGCCAACCCTGGCTCTGGTGGTACTACATCTCAAGGCTTCGTTTGTCCTTGGGTGCAAAGGCTGCTGGGAAGGAGGAACACACTTCCAGAGAGGAGAACATCCATCTCTCTTCAGAGAAGGGTCTGAGCTGGATTTCTCCCTACCTCCTTCTACAGAGAAGGGTTCTAAGGCCCGGGTGGGAGCTGTCCCCTGAGATCGCAGAAGGATCAGCTCCCACTACTTCCGGGTCTGGGTTGGGCATTCCTCCATGGGAGGCCAGAGGGCAGCCTCATGACACCAGGCCTGGAAGCTGGGCCCCGAAGGATGAACAGGCTGGAAAAGGAACAGCAGGGACCGAGGTGTGGAGGCATGAGACCCCAGCTTGCTAGACCCCACGCTGAGTTTGGCTGAAGTGGGCTCTGTGCACAAGAGACAGAGACTAGGTGTGTTTAATTTGCCACTTATGCTCCCGGAGTTGGGCATTCTAAAACCAAACCCACTGCCATTGAGTCGAGCCTCACTCTCCGAGACGCTATCCCGAGCTCCGAGACTATAAGCCTCTACAGGGGCAGACAGGCTCACCTTTCTCCTGTGAAGTAGGTGGTGGTCATTCGGTTACCAGCCCCAGCAGGGCTTCCTGTAGTCAGCACGTGACAGAGGTGTGTGGAGCGAACGAATGGATAACTTCATTCAGCCCTCCAAGCAGGACCCTTGAGGAATCTGAGCCCAGAAGGAGGAGTCTGGTTCCTCCTGGCCCCGACCCATCCCTGCCTGGGCCCTCCCATGAGATTCTCTACCCCCGTGCTTATGTGTCTTCATTTGCTCAGGAGGCTTCTTCCATCCTGTCCCCACCTTTGTGCGTCACAGGGAATTGGGCTCTCCCAGCTCTATGGGCCGGGAGACCCTGCCCAGCTTTATGGGCCGAGGCTCTGACACCAGCTTGAGGCTGCCCTCTGGTGGAAGGTCTTTGGTAGCACAGACTTGTGCCTCAACTCCTGCATTCAATTCCTTTTAACGGATGTATAAAGACCCATTGGTGTGTGATGGGCTGAAATGGGCTCTGTCGAAGCGGAAGAGAGGAAAGCTCAACCTTGCTGTTAAGGTGCATATCGTTCACAAACACAAATGGCCAGCGCACGGCCAGGGTCACGGGAACACAATGAGAGGACCGCGGCTGATGGGCAGCTTCCTAAGAGATATATACCTTTGCCTGGACTGGGATGAATGGCTAGACTTCTATTTCTGGCACTAC